ATACCCAGAGACTGAGATGTTTGAAAGAGCTGCATCAGTGTGTGTCTGCTGCAAAGGAATGGGTAAAGGTTAATTCCATGCTAAAAAGGAGAAAGAAAATATACAATACAAAAACTTTGTAGCTGTTGAACATTTTTCAGGTGTGGAAAATCAACAGAATGCTCAAAGTACATTAACCTTTACTCATTCCTTTGAAGACAATGAGATTTCTTCAACAATCAACAGGCAAATCAATAAAATCAGTTCTGTGAGGGGCAGAGAAGTTCTGGAAGGCAGAGGATCGTCACAAGGAAAATAGGACTGTCATATACATCTTCTTCATGTAATCAGATAATCATGTTCAGACTCCAGTGTCTATAAAACAAGAAATCTAGAAAGATTTAATCTTGGATTTTAATTTAAGAAGAAAAAAACAATGCATAAACAGCTTCACCTTTCTGTCTATATGAACGTACTCTGCATACTTGGAGGGCATACAGGTATGATGTTGACAGCTGAGAGATGAAATCATCATCTTCTGTTAGCCAAAGATCAACTGAGGTGGCAGCAGAGAGGATTGTGCCAGAAAGTGCCGTGCAGTACTTTATTCACAGATGAATGCTGTTTAGTACTTGTCAGACCTGACAGAAGGCAACATGTGTGGAGACTTAGGGGTGACTCTTATGTGGGCTGTTGCATTATTCAAGACAACCAATTGGGCAGTGGAACAATGATGAAGTAAGGTCGCATCATTGTAGTACAAGAACGATTCAGGCACAGACAAGCTTTCTGAACTGAAATGACAGTCTTTCAGCTCAATGGTACATTGATGACATCCTTGAGCCAACACTTTTTCCATTCCTGCAAGTCAAACCAGATGTGTTCATTCTTCCAGTAGGACAATGCAAGACAGATCGCTAGGATTACAATGGCATTTCCTCAGGAACCCAAAGTCATGATCTAGTCATGACTTTGGTTTCACAAGAGGAACACTTGTGAAACCAACGTGCACTGCCATCACAAAGGACAACTGCAACTGGCTTGCCTTCAGAGTGGTGAATGTCCCAAAGCACTCCCCCAGAGGCTGATTAGGTGTTTGCCTCAGACTTGCCAGGATTGTGTTAATGGCCAGGGAGGCTACACCCAAAGCTAATTTTATAATGTTATTGTTCTGATTGTTTTTTAATTGAAAACTCAGCATTGCTTGATATGTGTTTTTAAAGCCACATTTTCTGTGATTGCTTGATGAGATTTCCCACAACATTGAATTGGAAAAAGCTTTTAGAAAATGTTGCATGCACATAGACAAGATAGCAACAAGCAAGAAGCAGCAAATTGTCTGGGTGGTTTTCTAGTTTGACAATTGTGTATAATTATTGTATTATCGGGTGTTGTGTTTCTTTTGTATCAGTATTGTTAACCTGTTTCCACTTTCTCAACAAACCTACCCTGTTGCTTTCCACACGCATAAGAACACACAGCTATCAGGAAGGGTCTTACATTGAGGTGGAAATGGCTTGTATCCGTCTGCCAACAAGAGCTGCAGGTGGCCTGAACCCACACATGTCCTTTCCACAGAACCCAAGACAAATGTGAAACTCTGCTGTCGAAACTCTGACAGGCCCAACGTTAATTCTGAACTGAAAGACAGCAAAGAAATGTTCCACTAGCTCCATTTAGGGGAAAGGTATGTACAAAAAGTCACCTGGATTTTCTAAAAACTTTTTGCACTGGTCTGCCTTCTGTACTACTTTAATTTATATTTATTTTTAATCAACTGCATTTTCTTTTTGCATGTAGTATGTTTTACTTTTTACTCCATCTATTCTATATATTACACTTTGTAAATCCCTGTATTGCACAAAGCAAACAGCTAAACCTTCTGGTGCACAATATAAATTATGTATGTCAGTTACAGTGTTTTTATTGTATGTATACACATTGCATGATAACAATTGTAACCTGTGTCTGAGAAAAGGCCAAAAATTGGAACCCAATTGCACAAACTAAACATAGTTAGAAGTACTGCAACATCACTCAAAAAGCAGATGGACACACAAAAACCCACAGAAAAAAAATTAGGTAGTGTGCCATTATCACAGTCTCAGTTCTCACTCTGTTCTCCTGTGGTACCAAGTTTTAGTGGATTATAACAGTGCCTGTATTTTTGACTAATGAAACAACCAACCTCACCATAGGTGAAAAGTAAGTCAAAATCAACTGCAAAATAGGATTAATGGGAACAGGATTTGTTTGGAAAGTGATGTAATCCCACGAGTTTTGGTTTAAAAATGTTCACTGGCGCCAAATATACTTCCAATCATTCATTTTCTTGTCTTTATCGTGATTAACTCATAACTGTGATAAAGCCAGGTGATCTGGTGATGGTTAGGCCAAAGGGTTTGCTACTGGAAACGTTTCAGTGGCTCTGCCAGTGATTCCCTGTAGGAGGCGGTACCTTGAATCTCCCTGTTCTTTGTCCCCCAGACGAGATGTAAAAGCAAGGTATAAGAGATTGCACCAGCAGCTGTTGAGTAAATATTTTCCTCACACATCACTGTGTAAATCATTGTGGACACGAACACATTCAAAATTCACTAATTGTTTTGAATTGTCACCGGTCCTCAATCTATAAATCATATGGTTCTTGAGCTCAATGTAAACAGAAAAGGGTAGCTGTATGAGGAACAGTGGAGGTACTGGAGGACTTTACCATGACATGTGCGGAACATCAATGTCACACACTTTCAACATATTTTCAAGCCATCACCCTCGGTAACATGCTAACAAGGTCATTTTAAAAATGTTTCATTAATATTAAATATAATAAACACACATATATAATCGGTTTATGACATTAAGCCTGTTTGTAAGCTGTGTGGGAAAATCTAGCCGATCTGGATATGTGTTCAAATTGGATCATTGACAGTGGTCTATACTAAAGTGTCTGTCTCCTTTAGCTTGCTGCAAAATAAAGTACTAGATGCAGCTAAATGTTTCTTGGTTAGAGCATATTCCATAGCCTGTTCCGAGTGACTTTTGCTGGGGGTTTTTTCAATTTTTTCAGTTTTTTTCTAGCTATTTTCATGCTCAAGGTTTTCTCTGGACCTAAGGAGCCTACCCTACACAGTCAAGATTCATTTTCTCCACAACTAACCATGGGGGTTCCTGTGATGAAATTCAAATTGTTCTTTTAAAGAAGTTAACGAAAGACCTAAAAAGTTGTTTCATTTGCATCTGCCATTGGTCTGCCACAGTTCTTACATTGTCTGTTGTCAATATGCAGTGGAGGAGTTCCCTGCGAGTCAACGGCCCAAGACAGACTTTTCACTTTCACTTTAAACATAAAGCTAAAAAGGGCACAGACGTGCGAAGGTAGACCTGAAATGTGAAAGTCCTGTAAAAAAATGTATGACCTGATACTCGTTCATTGCTGAACTCTGATTTGCTCTTTCTAAAACCAGCCCATGGTGTAGAATTTGTCATACATCAGCCTCCAATCATAACTATTCTCTCTGACTTTTCATGCAATATACCAATGTGCAGGTGCATGTCAGTTACCTGTGAGGGTGTAAGTTTGTAGGTTTGTCTGCATGTCAATAGCTCTCCTGACAAATTAATCTAACATACAGTAGGTACATCCATGGTGCACCCTGGACAGGACGCCTGTCCATCACAGGGCACACAAACACTCCAGGGCCAGTTCTCTCAGAAGCCAATTGACCTACCAGTATGTCCTTGGCCTGTGGGAGGAAACTGGAGCACCCAGAGGAATATGGGGAGAACATTCAACATTCACCCCAGGAGTCTTGTAAAAACAGCAATGCTAACCACTGCAACACTGTGCTGCCAACCCCGGTACAGCAAGAGAAATTAACCAGACCTTTATTTTGATATACTGTAAACTATCAAACACAGGTTTTGTCAGATCAGAGACTGACAAAAGTGTTTTATTCTACCTTCATCTTACTTATAATGTTTGAACACAAAGAATCACTTTTCACAAACAGCCATGTCTTGTTTTTGCATCAGTGTGTGCACGTACAGTATGTGTGTCAGTCCTTGTGCAGAGTTGTAAAATCAAGCATGCATGCTGAAATCATTCCATAAAGAAGCTTTAGTGATGTGGTGTAAGAAATAGATCATAGAGTTGATGCTGCCAGTATTAGTTGCATGGATGTTAATGGACTGGAAAAAAGAAAGAAAGAAGCATTCATATAATATCCTGGAAACAAAACATGTGTTGTTGTTTTTTTTTTCATTGATCCCATGATGTCTGCCTTTACAGCTTTATTTCAACAGAGATGTGTGAAAGCAGGCCCCGCTGGCACAAAACTAGAAGCACTTTTATTACAGAAAGCTAGGTAGGATGTTGTGATCGTCATCAAGCAATGGTGAAATGGTGCAGATGCACTTCATTAAGAAATAATTACTGTCCTATTGTTCTGGATAATGTCTGTGGAAGGTTTTAATGACTGGTGGCACTAAAAATGCAAGAAATGTGAATTTCTCATTTACAAAAAAAGGTCCGTTAACAGTAAGGATCAAAAGTTGTATGAATGTTGGGGATACACAGATGCTGTTTATTCTGTGAATCCTCAAACTCTGTGTCCTTTTAAATTTGACATCAACAAAAGCCTTGTTCTTTAGTTACCCTATTTTTCCAAAATATATAAAATCTTATTCAAAAGTAACAGTTTCTGGCTGGGTTTTCTTTTGTATGTCAGAGCCACTTCCTTGTTCAAAAATCCAAGAGAGACTAAGGAACACCATTTACTGTAATGCAGACTTTTAAATAACATTAACTACTACCCAGTCTCAAGCTCAACATGTAAAGTAATGTAATGAGGGATTGTTTCCTAGAAAAGAAAAAAAAAACACTTATACCTCCTGCACATGAACTGCAGTTCAATATTTTCCATCCTAACATTTGGGGATCATAATGTTATACTTATGGTATCAAGGGGCTGCAACAGTTTTCATAATGTTACCATGAGAATGAACCACAGATCACTTTGCAGAACTGATAACTTTTATTTTTCTCAGATGAAATCTTCAGCATAGTTTTTCAAATATAAACATGGTAAAGATGTGTTTCAGTTCACTTCCTGAAAGACGCTGAATATAACATACAATGAAAATAGGTTTTGAAGACAGTTACTAAAAAATCATACTACCTTTATTGTGTAAACAATTTCACAACCAAAATCATGTATTGATTCATTTTTACTTATTGATGAAGCAATATTTGCCAAATGTTCAGCATCATTCAGTAGAATAAAATAGTCTCTCATATTTTTAAAATGTCTTTCAATAGATGTAAAATACCTGAGTCTTGGGTGTAATGAAACTGGTGTTTTTTTGCCTATTTTAATCTACGAGTTAATTGTTTTCCAGTATGAGACTCTACTACAAACAATACCTTGAACTGTTTCACACTGCATATTATGCAGCTGAAGTCCCAAATTCATTTCAATCACTAACATCTAATTTCAGTTTTGAATCAAAAACAGTTGTAGATTCCCCAGGCCGTAGTCTGTTCACCAGGGGTTGTGCATTTTAATTAGCCAGGATGCATAAAACATTTTGTAGCAAACCTGTGTAACTAATAGTTGATCCCCGTAGATGCAGACAGGTATAATGTCACAGAACAATGCTGAAAACAGTTAAGATGTAAATTTGGCAAGCAAAGCAGGTGCAATTGAGGCTCAGAAAATAGGAACAGCATGCTGTTCACACTGTGAGTGGATTTCAGAAATTGCTTTTAGCATTTTGCAATATGTTTAGCTTTTTTTAGCAATGTTAATTAATGTATCTGAGTTGCCCTCCTCTACAATTCAATACAGAACTATATTTCAGCAAAGGTAAGATGATGGGAGAGGGGTGTTCTCTACTTTTTCAAGACTTTGCCCATCGCAAAAAATAGTTTTACTTCAGGGGTGACCCCGGTTAACCCCTTGTATTTGTCCACTAGTGCCTTCATACCATCTGGTCATAAACAGCTCAGAAAGGCATTTCAGTTCTAACAGGAGTTCCCTTGAGAAATGCATATTAAATTATATCAAGTGCCTGAAAAGCTGTCTCCTTCAAGACGAGTCAATGCTATAATTTGCAGAACCACCCAGAAAAGCACCTTGCTCCTGGGTGTGTCTTCTCACAATACAGTGGTACATTTAGTAGTTCCTGAGTGATAACTTCTTAAATAAAGTGTCTTGCGTGATTGATTTCCTTTATCATTTCCTTTGATATCTGCATCTACAGCTGGAAATGAATGCATAAATCTGTGTTTCCTGGTACATTGCACAGTTAACAAGTGTATGACATATTGAGGTTTTCTCCCAAAAGTCTCACAGTGGTTTAGCTGCTGTGCCGTATGTGGAGCACATGGGAGGAACAAAAGGTGTTTGCACTATTTTAGCGTAGGGCACCTTACAAATAACCCCAAACGCACACCCAGCTAGAACTGCAATTTAGAAGCTAGGTGCCTGTAGAACACACTGATGCGAAGAACGTTAATCAAAACAGACATATGGAAATCAAAGGACTGCCAGGAAATACACAGAGGATTCAACTTGGCCTAAAACCAACTAAGCTGATGGTCCCACAATGCAATGCTGGACAGTTGAAGAACTTTGCTGTGGCAGCAGTGTTCAGTTTGCTACATTAAAGACACAATAACATCCCAGTACATTAAAGATAGGCATCGACTGCAAAAAAAAAAAATGTCAGCAAGCAATCTACACAGCAATCTACACAGAGCCCCGACAACTGGAACAGAGCAGAGGTAATACAACTGTGACAAAACAGCAAGCACAATACCATACTGACATAAAGACAGGTAGCTTGGCCATGTGAGTCAGGTTATTCAGAAGACTGCTGATTGAGAGAAGGGCTGTGGGCTACTGAGAGAAAGTGCCCACAGCCAGGCAGGTGAAACTAACTTCCTGGGACCCTGCACACAAAAGCTTTAAGAGATGGGTGAGCAACCCACACAGCTGGATGAGCCAAATGGTTTTCTCTCGCTTAGCATCTTTCTTATGTTTATATGTATGCCAAAGACAGAGATGTACAGTGAAAATACTGGACCGGATGGGTGATTAATGCTTTTTTCATATGATAGGTCTTTGCATGTTGCTAATTTTCAGATTATTCCGATATAAGGGATGGGCAGTATGGGGGCATGGTAGCCAATACACCTTCTAGGCCCTGGATTTGATTCTGGACCTGAGACCCCTCTATGTGGAATTTGCATGTCCTCTCTGGGTGTCTGGGTGGGTTTTGTCTAGGTGTCCTGGATTCCTCTCGCGTTCCAGATACACATTGGTTAGGCTGACTGGTGTCTTTAGATTCTTCTTGTGTGCCTGCTAATATGTCAGCCAGATGGATTAGTGCACAAGGCATATTCCACCCTAGTGCCTGAAATATGCACAACAAACCCCAGGTTGCAGCAACCCTTACCAGGATTTAATTGCTTGCTGACAATGGAATTGCTATCCCTAGCACGTTTTCTAAAAACTTCACTATCAAAATATATTTTTTTATGACCTGTTTCTGGACATTTCTTTAATTTACCGTTCTTAGGGATTACTACGTGAAATGGTGTTTCTGAGGCTGAATAATAGTAAACTGTATTTTGTGCAGCAGCTTCAAAAGCAATCAGAATCCCAAAGCACCTTCAAATCCATAAAAAAAAAACATTGCACAAAAACAAATTTTGAAGAAAATCATGAAGCAGGTCACGAAATTAGAATGTAGAAGAAAAAAAATTAAATCAGGAGGGAAAAAAAAACTTGTAGAAAAGTAACTCTAGGGATTAAAGCACGACTCCCTGGTATCTTTCGGTACGGGTTTACGGGCAATAGCATGAAGACCTTTCAGCCAGCTCCGTGCTCGCTTCCACGCACTCTCCTGAACACCTTTCATCGTTTTTCCACTTCATTAATTTTGGCCAGACATGAAAAACAAAAACAATGCTTGCTATGACATCTCGGTCACTATTTGTAGCTAATACACTGCACTTAATTACAAGCTACAGATTTTGAAAGCCTTGGTGTCTTCCCCTTTTGTATACTTTACAGAGGGAAGCGGCCATGCCCGTTCATCCCCGTCAGAGGTGGGTTAAATAAGTTGGACTTGGTTTCGACACCGACTGTACAACAGCTCCAGAACGGTGCACGCTCGCAAATATCATGTAAGAGAATCGGGTTGTGTGAGGGCCTGTCAGTTTGAGCGGATTTCGTACACAGTGTGTTAAAAGCTGACAGACAGGTATGGCTGGGGTGGATTCAGAGCAATGATTGATAAACGTGGGTTCAGCTGGAGTTCAAGAGGAGCTTTAGACACAGCTAATGACTGACAGCTGTGTGTTGCAAAGGAGTAATCAGGGAATATTAAATTAACCCGGTAACAAAGTGGAATGAGGGTTTTCCTCTTCGTTTTACAACTTAATCCTGGCGTGTGCAGTCTCGTCGGGAACATGGTTAAGAAGTGCAGTTTTTAAGCGTTACAAATGTAGTTTAACTTTGAACTCAAACGACCTGAGAAAGAGAATCCGTTATACATATAATAGCGTGAACCAAGCGCAGAGCGACCTAAGGTTCAGATTGTGACTGCAATTCAAAGACATCTCCTGCCGCTTTCAGTCTGATGCAGTAAAATATATCTTTGCATTCGTGTTCTCCACTAATGGTTAGGTTTTTCACATTTTGTCGCCAAAGGATAACACTTTATGGGTGAGGCTTTGCATAATTCTAAACAATGCCCTGAACTTCACACGCTCCGCTCCTGAAACAGCGCCTGTACAAGTAATGAAATTGAAATATTACATATTTATTACATCAGAGGAGAACGCGAGCATTGCACCATGTCTTTAAATGGTAAACTTCAATGGGAATGATCTGTCTGGATTGATTGATTTGCATACTTCTGTTTGCTCCTTTTACTTCTTTTTCGCTTGCTGTTGAAAATCGAGCGAATCACGTTTGCAGTGATTTGTAACTCAACATTGTGTATTTACACCGTAACTAAGGCTTTTAGTTTTAACATAACGGAGATTGCAACTGGATCACGTACAGCAGATATGTGGGAAAACAGCATCCCGATACCTTTTGTACTTAAAATGAAAGCAAGTCGTTTTTTTAAAAAAAAAAACAACTCTTCGCGTTAGCCCAATTACACGTCTCAAGGCTGGTGCTACAACAAAACCATTATGTACTTCGAAGGTTTTTTTTTTTCCTTTCACACCATTTTGTATTAGTGACTGTACAGTCAGAAATACTAAAACCGGCAGTGAGCACGTGTGACGGTCATTTCTCATAATAACACAACAACGTATGACATGGTAAAAAAAAGGTTTGTTTACAGTCGTGTAAGCACGAAAGCTGGAAAGAGAAATAACCGTTATATGTCCGTCCACGGTCCCAAACAAAATGGAAATCTGATGTTTCAGTCTTGAGATCGGTGAAGGCGAAAATGCGGTCTTGTAGTAGTGGACACTTCCTCCATCCGTCTTCCTACAGCGTCAGGTTTAAATAACATTAGTTTCTACAGCGTGCAGACTTTGTAATATGTGTATTTCTTGCCCAACTACCTCTCGCACCGCAGCAAAGCAGCACTTCCACAAAGTTTATAAAAATGGAACAGAGGATCTCTGTTTCTTGCTTGCGCTCTCTCCGATCGCTGTCTCTTTAATAAGCTTGTGGTTATCTAGTGTAACAAATGTCTCGCTGCCATCATCAAGTCCAGGCGAGGAGGGAGGAGTTTTTAATGTTCAGTTTGTTCTGTGGATCGATGTTTGCTGGCATCGCCTCACCCTGCCTGTGCTGTGTGAATGTTATAGTATTACATCCAAGCACTCCACTCTGTCCTTTCTTTACATGTATCACACACACAGAGAGAGACTGGCATCTGTCAGCAAGCGCTCCCAGCTTCGCTTAGCAAAAGGAGAAACAATCCGCCATAGATCGGGGAACATTAAAAACACCAAAAAGGGCTCCGATCTCTGATCTGCTTTTTGTCCCCCCCCCTACACCCCCTTCTTTTCTTCAGTCATTTCTGATACTGGATTAAAGGAAAGACCAAGAGTGCCGAGATCAAAAGAGAGGCTCTTTCCGTTCTGTATGGACTATCTGAGACCGCATACGCATTTTACCTGGGCAGAGTCAACGTGAGCTGCGAAGGTGCAAAGATGCCAAGGAGAAAACAACAAGCTCCGAAACGGGCAGCGGGTAAGAGGACACATCTTTTGGGGGCATCACACTTGTCCCTCGTTTTCTTTTATTTCTAAAAGTACACGTTCCGTTTTGCTCTTTCTTAGATCCTCCCCGTTCATAAGTCGCCAGTAACTTTATCTCTTTTTTTCCGCCCCGAAACGGGGAGAGTGTTGTTCCCGTGTACATAAAAAAAAAGATATTACACCCCGGATCCCCCTTTTTGTATTTAGGATTTAACTCTTGTACCTAGAATAAGGTGAACTGCGCTCCTGTGGTTAAACTCAGACGCTTTTGTGTGCGTGAAATCCACATCCGGCACTTTTTAGCTTCAGGTTCAAACAAGCTCCCGTATTTACTAATATTCTTTCCTTTGTTGGTTAATAGGAATGTTTACCAATATGACACTTATTGTACAGTTTATCTAAATTATTGTATAATCAAGAACTTTTTTCATTGTAAACTCGTCTGTTTAAATGTATAGAGTACATTTTCTTTCAAAATTACTCTTTACCAAAATGTTTTAAATCAGTACTACTATTAACGATGATATGTTTTGTTTGACATGTACAGTATTCATGTCTTCTAGGATCCTAGAAATGTACTCCTTAGGGTGTTTTCCTTAGAATTTTGTCTTTTAGCCTCGTAGTAGCGTCTAGTTTAAGAGCTGTATTACTGTTCTTAATAATGCCTCAGGGAAACGATTTGAAATCGGTATGCCTTTAACAACCAAGCAGACTAGGGAATCAATATAATAGTTAAACTTACAGTGGACTCCAATAAATAATCTTATCTGAAAATCAAAAGAAATTCGCGTAATTTTATCCTACCAGACGATTTGTTAATTTACTGTAGATAATCTGTCAGTGACTTTCGAGACATGAGCTGTTGTAAACTTATTTTGAAAAGCACGTAAGTAGTAAGTCCAATATCTGTAAAGGAAACAACTTTTTGGGTTGAAATAAAATATTGTTTTCCACTTCAACTAAAAAGCTGATTTCAGACGTGCCTTGATAGTGTACTTTATTAGTATATTAATACATGGGCGTTTACCAAGCGTGATTTTCTAATAAGATCTTCTAGGCAGCTATGAAAACATTGTTTTGATTAATGTTTTTATAAAAGTTTTGGGCACCCAGACATGAAAGTTCATTTTTCTTGCGGCGGAACCACCCACTAAATGCCGTTTTTCCGTTTGATTGCGAGCTTTTGATTTGACACTTGATTGATCGCCTGTCACCTGGCGGTCTTTGATCTATCCATTCCTGATAAATATCAATAAATCACTCGCTATGGTAACCCATGTGTGTTAGTGACGTATTGCCTGCCCTCTGGTTTCCCTTAGCTCAGACATGTACAGTTATTGTCTTGTTTTCGTTTTAATGTGGGTGTTTTTTTCTTCATTTCCTCTCGAACCAAAAAAAAGAGGAGGATTAATGTTTCAAAAAAGAAATCCGAGCCCTTAAGTAAGGGATCGTCCTCAAAGTTTTTTTTTCTTTACTTCTCTAAATTATGAACACATACTGTAGTGACCCGAGGAAGCTCTGGATAAAAGGAAATGTGGGGAAAAAAAACAAACAGCAGTGTTTGTGAAACTTCTCTGTAAAATCTAAGCAATGAACGGAAGTCCGTAATATATTTAAATTATAGCTAGAAATATATGAAAATACAAACATCACTGTTTTGTTGTATGTTTTTGTTGTTGTTGCGGTTCATTTGTTTTTTAATTGAACTACTGGAAGATACAGCAGTGTAAACACAGAGCAGTGTCCATGAAGGATAAGTATTGTTACAATGATAGGATTAATGACTAATGCTGATGAAGCAGGCCAGAAATTCAGGGTGTTTACTTAGAAAATGTCATTTGGATACTTTATAAGGCGATGAAGGCCTTGTAGGATGTTTTTTTTTAATAAAGTGGCACTTCAACCACCAGTGACGCTTTTTTTTAACTTGGAAGTTGCTCAAGTTTGTAATATATGAACACAATAAACAGACCCAAATCTAACTATTAAGAATTAAATTGCCTTCAAGTTGGAATACATGGCGGGAGTATACTATATATATATACTGTATACTATATCTGTGTATTTCCATTCGCTTATTGCTAAATTTATTTGAATCTCAAATACAGCAATGTGATCTAGTATATACTGTATGCGAGAGAGAAGCGCACTGATTTACGAAAAGTTTAAAAAAACAGTATTGACAAGTCATTAGCAGCACTGTTTTAAAAATCATAAATCTGCTAAAAATCAAAATTATATTTGCAGAAGTTTAATAATCATCTGTCCGTGACTTGTTCTCAGATAC